CGGCTGGCCGGAGAGGGCACGGCGCCGCCGCCCGTCGCCCAGCCCGGCGGCACCGGCCTGAAGTTCGGGCTGTTGCCGCCGGAGCTGCACGCTCGCCTGCTGGACCAGGAGGACTACAAGAACCGCACGCAAGCCGTGGAGGAGCTGAAGAGGGTGGTCGGAGGTGCCAGCCAGGCTGCGGTGGCCTCCGCGCCTGCCCCCAGCCTCCTGGGGCTCATCAGCTTCCTCTACACCCTCCTCGATGACTCCAACTTCAAGGTGGTGCTCGGGGCGTTGGAGGTGATACATCTGCTGGCCCTGCGCCTGGGCGACCAGGTCCGGGCCTTCCCGGCACCTCTGGTCTTGGCTGCTGCTAAAGTCCTGGGGGACAACAAGCTGGCCATCCGGCAGGAGTACAACCGCCTGTTCCTGCGGCTGATGAAGGCGGCAGGTCCTCAGCAGGTGCTGGGCCTGCTGCTGCAGCAGGAGCACCTGCAGCACAAGAACTCCAAAGTCCGCGAGGAGGTGGTCAACATCTGCATCGTGGCCCTCCTCACTTACCCTAGCGAGGAGCTGGACGTGGCCCAGCTGGCGTTTGGGCTGGCTCCGGCACTGGTGGACAGCAAGCGCAGGGTCCGGCATGCTGCCATGGAAGCGTTTGCTGTGCTGGCGTCTTCCATGGGCCCAGGCAAAACCACCCTTCTCTTCAAGGCGGTGGATGCCGTGGAACTTGAGGACAACGGGGACGGGCTGATGCACGCGGTGCAGGCCAGGCTCGCCAGGAAGACCTTGCCGAAGCTAGTAGACCAGGGGTTTGTAGAGTACGCTGTGCCCTTGCCTTCATCTGGTCATAACAGGGGTTCCTGTTTACCCCCCGGAGCAGATACAGACTGGTTGCTGATGGGCAGCAGGACTCAGAGCGCACACAGTTACTGTGGGTGTCACGCAAGGGATGATGCTCTGCAAAACTCCAGCTCACACGGCGCGTGTGCCGATCAAGGAGTAAGTCCAAGAAGAGTCCTGAGCGCGGGTAAAGGGAAAAACAAACTGCCTTGGGAAAATGAGCATGCTGGAGACAGGGAAGGTGGTTCAGGAGTCAAGATGCCTTTCACAAAGGATGTGGAGCAGGTATGTACTCGTAGCTCACTGGGCTCGTTTCTTCTAAGGCATGTCCCAAAGGGAAATTTGAAAGTTGTCCAAGGTTTATTAAGTGACAGCTATTTCCGAGGTACGGCTAATACTGCTAATATTTTATGTGCAGGGATCTCTATACATACATCGATCTGGGAAGGCAAATTTGAGAACTCTTTATGTTGGATTTAACACTGGTAGGAACCAGGCAACATATCACTTACAAAAAAAAAAAAAGAAAATCTTTTTCTGATGTTAGCTGGACTCCACGAGGCACTTCTCACGCCTAACCCTAGCGGTCCGTCTTTGACAATGGCAAGCTAAACCCCAGGGAATGAGTACAAGAGCGGGGAAACTATTTCAGAGCTTCTGTTTGTATGTTTGTGTTTGAGACTACTTGACAGACTGCAGAGTTAAGCAGAAACGTTGGCTTTCTTAAATACAGAACCTGTTTGGAGGAAAACTGACAATTGCTTCAATGCAGGCTTTGAAGGCAGAGCGCTGGAGTGTGGCTGAGCCAGTGCTTTTTGGCAGTGTACTGACCTGTAATAAAACGTGGGGGTTGCCCAGCGTCTGTGTGGCTCTTTTTCCTCAGTCTGATTTGACTAGGAAAAATGCAGGTCAGGTGGAAATAGCAATTCAGAATGACCCGAGTTTTGATTTTACCACTTACTGACCGTGTCGGCAGCTGCAAAGGGAAGGAGCCTTTGAAAAATTGTTCAGGTCCCTTTTACTTTGGCAGTGATTCCGTTCCGAGACATCTCTTTTGGGTACCATCCACGAGTTTAAGACCTGGGGGGTGTATCTGGGTGTGGTGGGTTTTCTGTTGTGTGTTTTGTTTGTTTTTTTTTTTTTTTAACGGGACAGTTTTAATTTATTATAACTTGATCTCCAGCGAGTGAGTTTAAGTGAGTAGATCTTTTTAGAAGATGGAAAGCTGTATAGAACAGACTTCCTCATACCACGTTTACGTATTCAGAATTTAATTCTTAGTTGCTTAGTAACTTGTTCCTGTATTGGATGAGGTTGTGAACAGTGCTACTGTGTGAAGGCTAGCTTTTAATAAAGTCTTTTAATAAAAGGAAACATGAGTTAACATTACTGTAGTGTAAAAACCTTGAAGTTCATGTATATACTTGTATGCACGCAGGCTCATGTCCTTTCTTGGTGTATCACCTTTACTCAGATGCCTAAAGAGATCTGTATCTTTTTGAGCTGATGAATCGGGCAACTAAGTTCCCTTGGGGTTATCTACAAAGCAAATAGGGTCTGAGCAAGAAGTTATGTAGGAAACACCTCTAGAGGAAGAAGGCTTTTCTTTTTGAAACAGCTTTTCACTACTAACTAATACAGCTTGTAGAAATAATAGTTAATTGCCAGCATTCTCTAGGCAAATTGGGCTTTCTGTACTGCTGCTGTTTGCTGTTGGCTGGGTTTGTATTTTTCTGTAGGCTGCGAACAAAAAGCAAGCCAACACATGCACCAAAACCTGGCTGTTGCTTGGAATGGTGGAAGGTCCTCCGCCTGAGACAGCCCTCTCTTGAGGTTAGGTGCTCTGGAAATAGTTCTTTTTTTTTTTTTTAACCTTTTTGTACACGTGGTTGTTTTTATCCCTGTAAATTGGGAGGATTGCCCGAAGTTTTCAACCCCGGAGAGAGGGAGAGAAAGCGATTAATTTATGTTTTCTGTTTTGTTGCATATGTAAAGTGCATTTAGAAATGGTGTGAACTTAAAGTTATATTTGACCTGGGGAAGTAGCTACGTATTCATGGCTTCAAGTCAGTCATAATGAGGTCCTCGGTTTACTAGGGAACATCCTTGATACTAATATGATAAAAGTTTTTTAGACTATATGTATTTTTCCATGTGTAGTATGAACTTCATGGGCGTAAATCCCATCTCATAATATGGGGATGAAAACCAACCTAACTGCCGGGCATCTGGAGTGCGAGGGGCGCGTGTGTGGGGTTTTGTTTATAGTGTTACTCTCAAAGGTGGGCAAATCGTTAGCAGGCTGCAGGAAGCTCTCACGTAAGAGCGCTAGTTACCTCCCGTATGTAAAGCCTAATGGGAAGAAATAGAAAGACCTTCAGATTGGCTTGCTACATCTGACAACCACTTGGCTTGTCTCTTCGTCATCCCAACATTTGTCTGTGTGACTGAACCTTTGTGGCTGACAGGTTTTCTTCTTTTCTCCTTGGAAGACTTTTCCAATTGTATAATGTCATGCGAATACTTCAGGTTTAAATTAACATTTTCCTTTTGTGATCATCTTTATTCTTACGTCCTTGTGTATTATGCCAAATATTTCACTTTGTTCCTACTTAGGGACAGACGTAGAACTTACACTTGTGCCGTCTTATTTTTGCAGAATTAGAACAGACTCAGTTTTAGCCGTTATTCAGTAAAAGCGTTGTTCTGAACAGGGACTACTTGCGACTATCAGTGCAGTTTACTTTCCTGAATCTCTTTTCCTTTGCTGCTATGTGGGGACTCAAGCTGTGAAGTTAACCAGTCTGGCTTTGCTTTCGCTGCTGCCGCATAGTATACAGTAGGTGGTAATGAAAATAATTCTACAGGGAGAAAATCCTGTTTGTCATGTACTGTGTTTATTCCTTTTTAATAAGAACTAATTTTTTTGCATCTAATAACTGTGTTTCTAAGACATCCTGTGCCTCCTAGAGATTCTGTTTGTTCCTGTCTCTTCCCGCTGCTTTCTGACTTGTTCTGTTTGCCTCTCACTTCCATCTTATGTTGTTTTCTTGCATATTTAAGTTGGTAGAAAGCAGATCGATAACTTTGAGGTGTCAGAATTTGAAGACTTCATCAGTTGCACTCTGCCAAAGGAAACATGTTAATGCTCCTTGTGCACTTTCACTTGAAAGACGCCTGAGTAACCAGAAACCTCCAGTTAACCAGAATTCACTTTACATTGACGTATAACTCCTCTCCACATAGCTTTTTGCTTACATGCAGGTAAGTACTGACAAGAATAACATTTGATGTCATGTTTGATAGAATTTTAAGGTTGCCAGTTTTGACTTGGACATAGATGAACACGGTACCAAAATTACGCCTGCGTTCCCAGCTTGCTTTAGTGGTAATGGTTCACCTGATGAGAACAATGTCAAAAGCATTGTTCCCGTAGTTATGAATAGACGCGTGAAGGCTGATACAATACAGCAGCTAATATTTTGCATTCAGCAGGTTTGAAAAACTTCTTTCAGTCCATATGAAAATGCAAGCTGTTTCTTTGCCAGTGGGCAGTTAAGAAGAGCATACTACTGGCAGACATAAGGTTTCACAACTACCCTTCTACTGGCTTTTGGGACCTGTGGTTTTAAAAATTGCTGTGGATTAACAGCTGCCCACCTGCCAAGCTCTTTCAAGACACATTGTTGAATGTAAGTTGAACCTGGCTCAAGGAGTAGCTTTGTTTCTCTGTACCGTCTTGTACCAATTCAGTCTGCATAGGCTGCTGTAATCATCATGCATCTGTCTCTCCAATAGCAGTCGTTTAACTGGCGCTGGTGGCACTTGCTTGTCACTCAGAAACAGTGGTGGCACTCGTTTTTCAAATTCCAATGATTCCTTTTTACTTCGATGTCTGCAAAGATAAGGTCTGGCTGTCACGGTGCTGGTGTGAAAGACAAAAGCATGATTTAATGCAGCTACTGCATCTTTGCCCTCTGTGAGGGAAAAGAACAGCCTTGTTAAAAAGCCTCCCTGACATACTTCTCTTTTGATTAGAAGGTAAGGCAAATGCTGCTCGTCGTTGTGTATAAGGGAGGAAAAGAGTAGGGATTCATTTTAGTTGCCTACGTGGTGATTGCTTAAGCAACCTCATCGTCAATGGAGAACTCGTCTGTGCAGTCAGTAGAGTCTAGAGAGCTGTCTTTGTGACCAAGGACCTAATTTAGGATGAGGTGAATTCTTTTCAAGACGTTATTGAGTCCTATTGGCTAGACCCAATGGAAGTTTAAACAACACGGTGTTTTAAGTATTGAAATATTTATGTGATCGCTGTAGGTTGACAGCTTTGTTACCCTGTCTTCACATTCTGATCATTTGTCTTATCCTACTGTTATATCTGTCTGAACAAACGGTGAAGCTCTCCAGGGTAGGGGACATCTTTTTATCTGACTTTCTGATTTTTGGTACAGTATTTGCTGGCTTCTTGATGGTGCTTGTTTTGTTACATCTGTGCCACGAAACTGCTTTTATCCCGTAGCGTGTATGTATCTTTGATGCAAGTAGGTGAACTGTGTTTTCACTTAAGGCACACTGGGACGAGTAAACTTGGACAGTGTTTCCTGTACTTGAAGTCATTCCTTGTTAACTGAAAGAGATTGCCATAAGCTGTATAAATAAAGCTCTTTTCCTTGGGGCATTTAGCAATCAAAGTGGGGGCTGGCAGGGGAGGGAAGAAAGTTAGCCCTCTATCTCTTCTTAACTGTTTTCAGTAAGGTGTATCATGCATAAAATGCAGGTAGTTGACTTGTTCTTGTAAATGTAAAAAATTAATTATTAATTCAGACATTCCTTTGAAATGAATTTGCTTAAAAATTAACTTTTGGAGTCATTCTGTGGCTGAAAGGATGCATGAAATTAGCTTAATGTTTAAAGTTGTTTTTCTACTAGTGTTTTTAGGGTCATGTTACACAGTGATTGTCCAAGGCCATGTCTAGACTTTCCTGATCAGATAAGATGTGAAGTAAAACATGTGTAAGTTAATGTGTACTAAAAATGTAACATAGATAAAGCACATTGCCTTCAAGGGTTTGTCTAAACGCAGCTTCTGTCAGTGATGTTAAATTGGGTTATTGATGAAACATTTCTCTGTAACCTCTGAAGTCCTTTGAAACTGGTTTTGTTTCATACCCATCTGTAAACTTCCAGTTGCCAGCGATGCTGCAGGATCGAATGGGTGGTCTGACAACATAACCAGCCCTGTCTGTCCTGCGCGGTGTGTTTCTGTACAGCGCGAAGTCCAGGTG